TTTGATGAGTAATATTTTTAAAAAATTTAATTGACTACAAGGCTACAAAGATTTATAATCAATTAAAATTATTAATTAAGAAAGTAGAAGAAAAATTATTAAATTAGATTCAAATAATGTTTTAAATTTTGCCCTAATCCTTAAGATCTTAACAACTTATGGCTACCTGACTAGGGTTGTCAAAATGACTCTTTGTTCGTGAATAGCTTGTGTTCAGCTCGCTAAGCAAACGAGCCGAACACGAACACACTTTTTGTGCTTGAAATATAAATGAGTCAAACACGAGCTGAGCCTGGGCTTGCTCGTGTTCAGCTTGTTTACACCCATAGTATCAAGAGTAATATTTTAAAGTTAGAGAATTCACTCAAAAAATATAAGATCTCCATAAAAAAATAAAGAACTCACAATAAAAACTAATTCAAATGAATTAATTGCTCATCTTTAGATGAAATATAATATAATATTAACTTAATATATAAAAATATTAAATGAAGTGTTTAAAAACTGTCGACCGAGACAAACTTGAAGGCAGTAAAAATGATTTGATCTATCAAATGACATATTATTAACCCATAGATTATAATATTGCTTACTCAAGTAGTTATAAGGTCAAAGATCAAATTGATCCAAAAATCAAAATATTTTATGTTTCATATTGACGATGCTAGCTTCACTTAATGTACAAAGAAGCAACCAATCATGCCGCCTGCTCCAGAAACTTATACAAATAATTGTGTGTTCTGAAAATGAAGTTATAAAAGCATATACAACAACAACAACAACAAGCCTTTATTCAACTAAGTGGGGTCGGCTATATGAATCTTTTTTCTCCATTGCGTCCAAATGAGTGTCATATTTTCATTTAATTCTAACTGCTTAAGATTACTCGTCATATTTTCATTTAATTCTAACTGCTTAAGATTATTCTTTATACAATATGCCCAAGTCTTTTTAGGTCTATCTCTGCTTTTCTTAACATAAGTGGAATCTAAAACATCTATTCTCCTAACAGGATCATCAGATTGTCGACATTTAATATGATCAAATCATCTAAGATGACTCCCTCTAATCTTGTCTGCCACTAGAGCTACAACAACCCTATCACGGATATATTCATTTCACTTTTTTTGTCTCTAAGTGTCAAGCCACTCATCCACCTAAGCATTCTCATCCCCACAACGCTTAACTCTTTTTATGCTTCTCTTTTAAAGCCCAACATTTTGCTCCATAGAGCATTGCCTCTCTCACCACCATCTTATAAAATTTTTCTTTCAGTTTAGGCAGTACTATTCTATCAGACAATAGTACCGATGCATTCCTCCATTTCAACCAACCAACTTGAATTTTACTAATAGCACCCTCATCTATATCACCATCACTTTAAAGAACAGACCCGATATATCTAAAATGTTCACACATTTTAACGATTTGATCACCCATAGTTACAACTCTACCATTAGAGCTACTACTACTAAGGTTACATTCCATATATTCCGTTTTGGATCTACTCACACGAAGTCCTTTAGATTCTAATGTAAACCCCCATAATTCAAGTTTTTCCTGAACTCTTTCTCTATTCTTATCCACAATAAGAATATCCAGTGAAAGGCATACACCAAGGTACATCCTCATGTAAATGTCCAGTAAAAGCATCCATAACTAAAGTAAAAAAAAATATGGGCTTAAAGCCAATCCTTGAGGTAATGCAACTGAAATAAAAAAAAACATGGTCAATCCTCCTTCTGTTCAAACACAAGTAGAAGCTCTAGTATATATATCTTTAATGACTTGAATAGAAGCATATCAACACTTTTCTTCTCTAAAACTCTCCAAAGTACTTTCTTGGATCATTATCGCAAGATTTTTCTAAATCAATAAAATTAATATGTAGATCCTCCTTATTGTCTTTGTACTTCTCCATCAAGCCTCTCAACAAATGTACAACTTCCATAGTAGACCTCCCCAGCACAAATCTAAACTGGTTATGAGAAATCTTTGTATCACGTCTTAACCTATGTTCAATTATCTTTTCTCATAGTTTTAAAGTATGACACATCAACATAATTCCTCTCTAATTTGCAAACTCTTATGCATCAACTTTAGTTGTACATTTGTTGAGAGGCTTGATGGAGAAGTACAAAGACAATAAGGAGGATCTACATATTAATTTTATTGATTTAGAAAAATCTTGCGATAATGATCCAAGAAAGTACTTTGGAGAGTTTTAGAGAAGAAAAGTGTTGATATGCTTCTATTCAAGTCATTAAAGATATATATACTAGAGCTTCTACTTGTGTTTGAACATCTAAAGAATATTAAAGAGTTTATTAAGCCAAGAAACTCCCAATTTTGCTAAATATTTCCACGCTTCAATTGGGATATCATCAACTCCTACTGATTTTCTATTCATGGTTTCTTTTAAAGCCTCATCAACTTCTTTGTTACTAATGTGATGGTAAAAATAAATCATTTATTATTATTAACAATATTAAGAACACTAAGGTCAACCGTATTTTCAAAAACTTTATTAAAAGGTTTATCAAAATAACTCATCTACCTATGTTGAATATCTTCCTCTAAGAAAATTACTTTTTGATTTTCATCTTTAATACACTTTATAAAAGCATATGCAGACAATGAATCATCAATGGAATTGGGAAAGAATAGTATGCATCCTGAAGAAATCAAACATACTATTATTCATTTTCATGGTATTAAATACCAAATCAAGTAGTAAATTCAAATAGAATGTGTGAAAATTGCAAAACAAGTTCTTATATTTTTAATAAGCCATATGATATGGAACGATTCATAAAATTAAAGGCAATGCTATGCATGGTCAATGGAGCACTTTTTTTCTTCTTTTGTTTAAGGAAAAGTGTTGAAAAATAAACTAAAAAAACATGCAAATTTACTAGGAGCATATATAAAATTTTAATATGAATGTTGTTGTAAGAAACTCTAGATATTCAGTCAGCAATCCAGGTGATAGGAAGTCAAAATAAACTGGATTTAATTTACTAGGAGCATATATAAAATTTTAATATGAACGTTGTTGTAAGAAACTCTAGATATTCAATCAGCAATCCAGGTGATAGGAAGTCAAAATAAACACCGCCACATGAATTAGTATAATGGGCCATGGGCATTATCATTTTGTACAAGAAGAGCAATAGTTTAATAAAAGCTTGAGATTTTAATTCTCTATCCAAAAAATTTCTACCAAGTCATGTCATTATACTCACTAATATATGATAATAATTTTGAAAAGATTTGCAATACTCAGATAATTGTTAATTGATTGTAAAGCATTACTGGTTACTGGTAAAATATTTGAACAAAAGACTGTGTGGCGCGCACACACACACAGAGTCAAACTTCTATTTTTAATTACGGCATGATTGTTCCATTTAAATTACTTTATAAACACAAGTGGTTCCAAAACAACAGCAAGAGCTTCAATTAAATTGAACCTTAAAACTCCTAAATGCTTCAGAATTTAAAAAGCAGATGGGGAGGCATGTCCACATAAAAGAACTTCAAATTTATAGAAAAATGTGATGCTAAAGAGTGTGTTATCAAATAAATTTTAAAAAGTGCATATGACATAACCTGCAGATCACCCTCATCACACAAAATTTAAGAATATAATGTTCAATATGCACAGTCAAGTTAATCTTGCTCTGATGCATCAAAATGAATAAAGTAAATAGGTTCGATCTTGAAATGATTCAACGCATTTTTCATGTTTTCTTTTTTTATCAAAATACAAATTGTTCTTACTTCCTATAAAATGCAAACTTTACGTTCAAAAGAGCAAGACAGTTGCTTCATATATTGATTGCTCTGGTCAGGATATAGGCAATACACTTGGGGAAAATGCTTCGGGCTGAGATAATTTATACCAGAAACTCTAGAAAATGAAGATCAAGTGACATTCACAGAGACAACTAAAATCTAAAAAGTTTGATGATACATAAGAAAGTTTTTTACAGCTGTATAACTTTTTTTCTGACATACTCCATCCAATAGAGCTCATGCTGTGTAGTTCATACCACCTTCATTGCTATGCCGACTACTCAAAGCCAAAGATTTATAAATGCAAACTATATAATCGCTTTTTGCCCTAGGGACACGCAGGCAACATATTCTTCATCAACGTCAAACTGCACGTCCGTACAGTGGATAATTCCTTTTAATAAAAAAAAAGATCATCAAAAAGTAGAAAGCAGTTTTACCAGCCCCAGAAAGACCAATCTGGAAACGGAATATCAAAATGTTCCTTTGTTGTGCAGTAGCGAAAGAGAGGCGGCGGCGGCTTTCCGGTGGCCGTGGGATCGTATTCCGTCCGGTTAATTGCAGGGCGATCCATGCAATCGAACACTAGATCGATGTCGGGGACCATCCCGGGGTACCTTTCAAGGAGCTGCAGCAGGCCCCAGACGGTGAACATGGCCCGGCTCTGCACGCACGAGTAGTAGAGGTCGATGTAGAGGCGATTGCTGCCGAGGATCACGACCCGCATTGCCGCGCGCTTTCCGGCCTCTGCAAGAGCAGCGCGAGAAATTCCAGAGCGACGCCAGGGCTCGAGATCGCTGTGAATAGAGCGGAAGAACGCGGGGCACGCTGACGGCGGCGACGAGTGGGATGAGATTTTGCTCGCATGAGAGCGGCGGAGACAGGAGAGGTAGGAACAGCGCAGGATAAGGGAGGCAGAGGCTTCGAGGTGGCGATCGTGGAGGTTGAATGGATGCCAGGGTGTGGCCTCTAGATTGTGCCCCGCAATTGTTCGAGTCCGTGATGCTATGCCGTTTATCGCCTGCGCTCTTTCGCATAGGGAAAATCCATTAGATGAAAGGGAATACAGACGCAGACTCAACCGAAGGACAGTGCAAGAAAAACTAGACAGTACCATATGAATGAATAGAAAAAACAAGAGGACCGCGGAGAGCAGTGTGATCAGTGTGAAAGCAGAAATGGATGCAGATCCGAGTCGAAAATGAAGGGGGTGGCTGCCGAGCCCACTGCGGCGGATGGGGATGGCAGATGACATCGGGCTGCTAATGGAAAGCCGCCGTCGACCTTACTGCAAGCAAGCTAGTTTTCTGCTCCTTTCTTGGAGCTTTACGGCTATTCATTCAGTTCGCATGGAGGTAGGCATGCAGGCAATATGAGGGCAAGCGACTGGAGAGCTAGTCTCGCGCCATTCGTCAACAAACATTCTTTTTCCAGTTTTATTGTGTGAATACACATTCTCTTTTGCTAGAAAAACCTGTAGTATAGAAACATGATATATTTAAAATATTTTGATGTTGTTTAATGTTATTACACAACATATGATATATTTAAAATATTTTGATGTTGTTTAATGTAATAAAAAACAAATGAAAAAAAAATTTATAAAAAAAATAAATGTAATAAGCAGCAGAAGCAGATGGTGGTGGCAAGCGGTCAATGGCCGGCGGAGCGAGCGGTAGGTGGTGGTTGTGGTAGCAGTGAGCTGCAGGTAGCATGCCACATGTAGGGATGGTGATGGCGGGTGGTAGGTGGTGGGCTTATGGTGGAGCTACAAGCTACTGCAAATGGCTAGCCGTGGGTCGTTGGCGGAGGCAAGCAGAAGCAGCTGGAAGCAGCAAGAAGTTATAGTGCAGTGTATTTGGAAATAGCCTAAATTTAACAAATTTGAAATACACAAATTTTGAACTGCAAGATCAGTCTTAAATTTCCTAAATTTTACTCTCCAATCCTTTTCATCCAACCAAATGTTAGAATTTAAAAAACTACTGCATTTGATTTGCTTTACACAACTAAATCAGGGAATAAATTAGCCCCTAAATTATTTCTATGATGTAAACAAATTGATACAATTGGTTTTTTCACTCGCTAAATGAAAAAAAGGAAAATTTGTGTGGGTGAAAAACTTGTGCAAGTAGTAAAGTGAGAATAGTAAACCACCACTTTCCTCCTTTTTTGGTTTTTTATTCTCTTCGAATCTTTAGCTAATTATTGTCATTGTCGGGTCCCAACCATCGGATTCAAAAAATAGAGGGTTGTGCTAGGTAGACCACCACTTTCCTCCTTTTTTGGTTTTTTATTCTCCTCGAATCTTTAGCTAATTATTATCATTGTCGGGTCCCAAGCATCGGATTCAAAAAATAGAGGGTTGTGCTAGGTAATTGACAACAAACATATTTATTTGTCAAAAAATGTCATTAATTCTTTTGAAACATTGTGTAAATGCTAGGGCATCCCATTGAAACAACACACATTATGACCTAAATACAGTAAAAAATGTTCAAGAGTCGTTGCACCGGCTTTTCAGCGTTGTGTTTAATAATCAAGGTTTTGATATTATGGACGGATGTGTGCGAAGTCATTAGGCATTGAAACTAATATTAAAATAAGAACTTGGAATATATATATAGGTACTCTCATAGGTAAATTAATGGAAGTAGTAGATATTATGACTAATAGAAATAAAAATATTTTATGTTTTCAAGAACCTAATGGGTTGGAGAAAAGGTAAGAATATTGGTAGCTTAGGTTCTTAACTTTATTTAGGTAGGAGTCATACAAAAAACTATGTAGGTGTAATTATATATATTAGTTTGAAATATAATAATGTAAAGGTTAATAGAATTTGTGATAGAATTGTAGCTATAAAGATTTTTATTGATATTAAGATTTTTAATGGTATAAGTATTAATGCTCCTTAGAAAGATTTTGATATATGTTCAAAATAAAAATTTTAGAATGGTCTAGAAGAGTTAATAAAAAAGAGATCTCTTGATGAAAATTTTTTAGAGGAGATTTAAATGTTCATGTTCATAGTGTGGTGTATGTATTCTTGGTGACCGTAGTTTCGGATTGACTAACAAAAACTATAGAACTATAGTGAATTTTAATTTAGTTTATGATTTTGTTGTTGTTCATACTGTATTTAAGAAAAGAGTTGTGCATAATAAAACACAAATTTATTATTTTCTTAAGAAAAAAATAGAATGTTGAGATGGTAAAGATAATAAGGTCATTCTCTAAGTTAAAATTTATGTACTCAATATTGATTATTGGTTTTGGATTTTAAGATGAAAGGATGGAAGATAAAAATAAGATGAAATATTGCTATAATATTAGATGGAGACACTTAAAAGATACAAATAAAAATATTTTTATGATTAAACTTCATGATATTAAGATTTAGGATGTTTATGAAGCTATATGAAATAAATTAACAAGCACTATTAAATAAGTTGCAAAAGATGTACTTGAAGAATTAAAAGAAAAAGTTCTTAAAAATAAAAAAAATTTGATGGTGGAATGATAATATGCAAGAAAAGATAAAGTATAAGAATTTTTGTCATAAAAGTTGGTTTAATTGTAAAAGCTCAAGGCATTGGAGAAAAAGTTCTTAAAAATAAAAAAAATTTGATGGTCGAATGATAATATGCAAGAAAAGATAACGTATAAGAATTTTTGTCATAAAAATTTGGTTTAATTGTAAAAGCTCAAGGAATTGGAAAAAATATAAAGTGACATGTAGGGATGATAAGAGAACCATTTATGATGATAAGAATTGTCATTTTAGTGATCTTTAAAATAGATTAGATACTAGAAAGGGTGAAAGATTTATGTATCAACTACTTGTTGACCTCATTTTTTGGTCAACCTTTTTCCATGGCTTATTTTCAACTAACTCTCACATGAGTTAAATTTTGAGTTAAACTCTGATTTAATACAACTAAAATCTAACTCTAGCACAATTAAAATAAACTAAACGAAAACAAACTCAGATATAATCAACTTTAACCAAACCCTAAAATCAATTTGAAATAAGCCTCATCAACATAAAGCCTCAAAAATATTATTTTCTCTCCCCAGGTCATTGTAAGGCTCAAAAATTCATTATGAAAGTTGCATGGTATTTATTGTCACATATAAACACTCTGCAAACTAGTTTGACAATCGTTTGAGATAATTTTTACATAAAATTCTTCAGTTCAAATTTTTATACATGAAAAGTGCTTTCTTCAAACCCTAAAATTATTTTTTTTCTCTACGAACCAATCCGTGGTCAGAATTTATTATATAAGTTGCATAATCTTTATAATCATATATAAAGAGCATGCAAACCAATTTGGTGGCCACCAAACACCCTTTTTACGTAAAATTGTACACATAAGGTGTACGAAAAATGGTCCCACGTGAAAACATTCAACAAATTATTTTTTAAAAAAGGACCTTCATAATTGTTTACATATCATCGAAATTTTTCAAATGAACATCTCTATGCTAGAATCCAACTTTGTTTAGAGGCCCATTGAGGTGATAATAATTAAGAAAATAAAATGATATTTTTAATTATAAAAAAGAATAATTTATAAATAATTAACTCAAAATGAGCTCACAATAAAATTAGACTTTCACAAAATTTAAAATAAATTAAATAATGCTTAATTTGATCCATTAAAATCAAGTAAAATCTTCAACTCAAAATCTACTAATTCTCTCTTTCCTATGGTTTGAGCCCTCTCTGACCTAAAATATCTTGATATGGGCCCACTTTGACAAAAAACTAATTATACCACTGAATTTGTCATATTTTCATCTATCAAATGAGCTTGAGTCAATTTTTATGGTAATAATCACCATAACCACTTTGTAACCACCTGGCCACTTCAACTTGACATATCTAGAGCTAGATACCTCGTTGTTCAAACCAGATTGGATCAGTGATATCTTTTTTTTGTTATCTTAAAATCATAACAATTTTGTTTTTTTGCCCTAACCACCATAGCTACCCAATTTTAAAAACACCAAACTACCCCCCTCC